GCTATAAAAAATGTCTTTTTGCGATATAGGATTCGTTATTGTTATTCTCCCTTGTGAGAAAGAAAAAACATGGTCCGATATTAAGTGATATTGACATGACATAAAATAAGAAAATTTCACCTTTTCCGCATCAACCAGTTCTTCACGCTGTATATAGTGTTCCAGTTCACATCTGCAATTAGAATTGATAAAAATCGAATTTAGATCATGCTCTTGGGCGATTCTCAACTTTGAGGTATATGTAGAGTAACATTTCGCTTAGAGTTCTGGAAAATTAAATAGCACATAGCAGGGCAAGAACTAACTGAACTCAAAAATCAAGTTATGCAACTCACGGAGTTGTTTGCCAATCGTATGGATCAGTAGGCTTTACTTCAGGTGGGTTACAACTTTCCAACATTTTGGTTAGCTTATCATATTCTGGCATTGTATCGTACTTCATTGAAAGGACGTACTGAAATGTTTAAACTTAATACTTGATTTGTTTTCTTCAGTTTCTTAGTTTAAACAGTGGCCCTAGAATTTCCATTAGAGTTCCTTTTTTGAGTGGAACTAACTCTGAATAGAATTTTGCGAATTTCTTAGATTTCTCACTTGCTTCACGTCTTACTCGAAGTAGTTAAAATTTTCGTGAGCAGAGTTCGCGCGGAATATTTGCGTTTGTCAATTTAGGCGAGATCGACTTGCGTTAAAGCCAAAGCTAGCCTAGACCAACTTTGTTATAAGTTAGATTAGTCTAGTTGGTTTAGGTAAGTCCTCCGCAATCTTTGGTGGGAGCACAAAGTTTTTTTGAATGTATCAGGTGCAGCCCATACCTTCTCGGATGTAACACATAAGCTAAGCTCTCTAGATTGGTCACAAATGAGATTTCGGGGATACGCATTGAAAGTCAAGGAATTAGACCTCAAGCTGCGTACCAGCTAATGGTGCACTTGTACTAAACCGGCCCTTGCGAAGGTACTAGAATGTTAAAAAACAACTTAGATGAGCTAAGAACACCAGCGTCTTATGCACAAAGGTCAATGCAGATTTGCTTTCAAATCAATACCTGCTGAACATTGAATAAGTATTAGTGAATTGTTGTCACGAGGTACTTTGATAGCTTTCCTTGTACATTTTTTTTTCAAAATGCGCTTTCAGCATAAAGATTTGCTCTCAAAAAGGAAACTGCAGCCT